CTATGGTTCAGGTGTAACCCGTCCGGCTTGAACAGGTCCCACCTGTTCCAGAAGGTCTGCCAGTGCCCCATAAACCTGAACCCCTCTTTCCTACACCACCATTTTAGCCACGCATTTAATCCCCTTATCTCAGCTAACTTTGCCTTACTTGCACGTGTCACGGGAAGTATTCCAGAGAATACCACCGTGGATGTTCTGCTTCTAAGCTTATCCGCGACTTCTATAAATTTATCTTGCAGAACAGCCCTTCTGCCCTTTCCTATGTCATTGGTGCCAACATGCACCACGACCACTGGATCCACCCCGGCTGGGGCCAAAAGCCTGTCCACTCGATCTGGAAGGTCCCCTACCTGGGCACCAGGCAGGCAAGACACCGTACGGGACCCTCTATCACGGGTGCACACATAACTATCTACACCTCTTATAATTGAATCCCCAATGTAAGTGGAAATCACATTACCTGGAAGAGAGACATACAATACAGGGAGAACATGCAAATTCCATACATACAGAGTGGAGGTGATGTTTGAACCTGGTATACTCTGAACCTGGCACTCACAACACCTTGGGCACAGTGAATACTCAATTCACACTTTGATCAATCTGGATTCCATAAGCTACCGCAGCTTGAAAATGTGCTACTATGGAGAGACATGGATAAGGTGGTAGACAAGTATCGTGAATTGAATTCAAGACTACTGCAGTTGCAGCTGGCCATGTTTGGGGCTAATTTCACATATGAGCTGCTGCTAGCATTCTTTGGGAAAGGGTGCTGGAAGTAAAAAGTCTCTTCAGTCAGAGGAAAGCTTGGTAAGGCTTCTGTTGGTTGTCCCTGCCTCCTCTATAGAGGCTAAGTTTTAATGCCACAAAGAATGCTTAATACATAGCTTAGATCATCGAGACAAATAAGGCTGAATAATCTCTCCATGTGTTGTGTGTACTAGAAGAAACTGGACAGGCTAAAGCCTGAAGGAATATGCCAGTCTTTTATCGGTGTCAATGGTAACTGAAAACACGTCTTTGATTAGAGAGGAGAAGAGAGGATAGGAGAGGAGAAAAGAAAATGGGAGAAGTGATGACTGAAAATCAAGTGAGAGGAGGTAAAAATAAATAAAAAGTTCATCCAAAGAGTTAGTGAATTTTAAAATACTTTAGAATGGAAGGAAATGAGTTTTCAAATTTAGAATTTTGGTCCCCCCCAATATTGACTCCATGGTTATGGTCTGACCCAAAACTATAAAGGGATGAATAATTTTCTAGCAGAGCTCGCAAATTAAATGACCATCATCAAATTAAGCATAAACATACAGTACTAACTGAAAGACAATCATCTATATTTTGTTGCGCAAGAACATAATTTGGAAACTAAAGAAAATCATATATCTTGAAAAAAAGTGGTGATGTGGACAAAATATGGAGAACATCATTTTAAGAGATTTTTTTAAAGAAATGTATTTTACTTAGTTTTTTTTAACTGGATGAGAATGTAAGGCAATGTAAATTATGTCTGTATGTATCATTCTTTATATAACGTGCATGTTGTAGGTTCCTGCGTGCATTTCATACATTACGTCTTTTTTGCATTACCCGTAGAACAAAGAACTTCATAAGCTTGAACTGGTTGAGAGTTGATGTCCACTGGTTCTCCCTAGCCTCCAGTCTGGGTTCAGGGGCTGCCGCCCCCTGAGTGGTGGGGTCATTCTGCACCGAGGACACGGGCTCGGGGGGAGTTTGTGATGATGGCTTTAAGGGATTGGTTGCCTTTTCTCCCAGGTCCACAGCTTTCAATGCATCTCCATCTGACATCTTGTCCTAAAGAGGGTCATATTACAAAAGAAGCACCATGTTTAATGCATATGTGCTGTTTTTCTGTTTCGGTGTAACCTTTTGTTGAAATTGCTAAAATTGCAATAATTTGGCTTCAAGACTATTTATCTTTTTAATAGAACAGCATTTTTATTGTCTGAAATAGGCTTCCTGGCCTGGTTGCGCCCTAACCTGCACAGTATGATTCATGGGATATGACACAGACATAAGTTAGACTTTCCACAATTATATCTGGACAATATACTTCAATTTACTTAATAAACTGGGACTTTGTTATTTTGGACTTCCTCTGCTGGCCCCTGGAGGTTGGGCTCCCCCTTTGAGTCTGGTTCTTGCCAAAGTTTCTTCTTACTAGGAATTTTTTCCTTGGCACTGTTGCCTGAGGATTGTTCACTGGGGGCTTTGGGCCATATAAAAATAAACTGAATTGATTCTTACTGAATAAGTGGTTATTGGCAGCAGGATATAAAATATAGCATTTTTTAAAAGTGTGTTAAGCATCACTAAATGTATCAAAAAGTTAAGAGAATATAGAAGAATTTTTCATTATTTTTGAATTTGCTGAGGAAGTCCAGTGGTGGTCTTCTCTTTGTGCCATAAAAGTGCTGTGCTGTAATAACAGTAACAGCTATGTTGCACAACATTGCAGTGAGGGCAAGAGTGCTCTTGGACATCAGGGAGGAAGATGAAGAGGTGGAGGAAGAGAATGAAGTTGAGATGAGACTTCATGATGATCCACCAAGACATGTTCAATACATGGCTGGGTTTCATGCACGCCAGCAAGTCATTGACACATTTTTTTGAGTTTGTCCTTTATTTGTGTCATCTTTAAAGCACATTAAATTGTCACAATCGTCGGGCAGGCGAGCCGGAAAGCAGGCAAACGGAGCCGTTAAGACAGACAGACGGGGTTTATTCAAGTAATAGGACTTGCAGACGAGGAACAACACATGACAATACAATGACAAGTCTGGGAACCTGAGGGAGACGCGAACTCATATACACAGGACAAGGCAAAAGAAACAGGAAACAGCTGGGCACAATCGGGGAAGCACACGTGGATAATGAGGGGGCGTGGCATACACTAGGATCGTACGGAGCCGGGCATGACAGAACCCCCCTCCAAAGGCGCGCACACCGGGCGTGCCCGAGAGGAGGCGACGGACGAGACGAGGGCAGGAAACAGGACCTGGAATACGCCGATCACATACTTTTTCACGGATATCGGCCAACATAACATACTGTTCCACCTTGTTTGTACGTCTTGTTTTAAGCATTTTGAGGCATTTGCAGTTCAATATGAATATCTTCAAAGCAAGTATACACAAGTGACGAATGGTTAAAATTTTTACACAATTTTTCTCCCATTGGCGTCAGCTCAGTTACACTTTATTGCGATGGCAGCCCCTCTTGTATCACAAGCTGCAGCGAGTTCGCAAAAGAGTCCAAGTTAGTGACTCTCAAATCATCCATTGCTTTTTTTGTCTCATAGTTGCGTGCGCTTTGTTAAGTGGGATTGTCCATTAAACGCTATTCTACAGAAGAGGATTAGGGCCACCATGAAAATATTATTTTAATTCTGACTTTAAAGTCAGAATTCTGAGATTAAAGTCAGAATTCTGAGAAAAAAGTCAGAGTTCTGACATTAAAGTCAGAATTCAAATAATATTTTCATGGTGGCCCTAATCCTCTTCCGTACTATTCCCACCTCTCAAAACTTAATTTTACAAAGATTGCAAATCGCTGTGCTACCGGTTTCTGTTAAAAGCGTAAAATACTCCCAGATCGTCACGTCTTATCTTACGCTCCTCGTACTGCGAAGGGTATGGTCATGATGTCACAGCAAGCGGAAGTATCTGTACTCACATCCACTGAGCAGCAAAAAAGACTGATGGGCAGCGTCAGCGTTCGATTTGAATGCTTCAACAAAACGTGTAAAATGGGAAAGAGCTGTCGTGCGATTGATTATACAAATAGATTTAACATGAAATAGTACAATCTTTTTAGAGATTGCCAAAAACTAAATAAGTAAGTATAGGACGTGTATCGGTCACGCATGGCCGATACCCAATCCGTGAAATAGGTCTGGATCGGTGCCGATACCGATCCGAATATTGGATCGGTGCATCTCTAATTATAACAAAGTGGAAGCAATTGGGAACAACAGAAACTCAGGCACATAAAATTACAGAGTGGGGACAATGCATACTGAGGCGCACAGTGTGAAGAAGTTACCAACTGCCTACAGAGTCAATAGCTACAGACCTCCAAACTTAATGTGACCTTCAGATTATTTCAAAAACAGTGCATAGAGAACTTCATGGAATGGGTTTCCATGGCTGAGCAGCTGCATCCAAGCCTTACATCACCAAGTGCAATGCAAAGCGTTGGATGCAATAGTGTAAAGCATGCCGCCACTGGACTCTAGAGCAGTGGATATGTGTTCTCTGGAGTGATGAATCATGCTTCTCTGTCTGGCAATCTGATGGACAATTTGGGGTTTGGCAATTGCCAGGAGAATGGTACTTGCCTGACAGAATTGCACCAAGTGTAAAGTTTGGTGGCGGAGGCATTATGGTGTGGGGTTGTTTATATTGCAGCATTCAAAGCCATTTTGGACAATTTCGTGCTCCCAACTTTGTGGGAACAGTTTGGGGATGGCCCCTTCCTGTTCCAACATGATGCACCAGTGCACAAATAGAACACCTTTGGGATGAATTAGAGTGGAGGCTGCAAGCCAGGCCTTCTCATCCAACATCAATACCTAACAAATGCTCTTCTAGAAGAATGGTCAAAAATTCCCATGAACACAATCCTAAACCTTGTGGACAGCCTTCCTAGAAGAGCTGAAGCTGTTATAGCTGCAAAGGGTGGGCCAACTCCATATTGAAGCTTATGTGTTTAGAAAGGGATGTTACAGTATATATATGTTTGAAAAGTCATTCTTGGCACCATACTAACCGCTGAGAGGCCACTTATCTCTCTGTAATGCTATATATATATATATATATATATATATATATATATATATA